CCCGCCCCCCGCCCCGCCTCCCCCGCAGGGGCCGTATTTCCGCCTTCCTAGCGGGCATGCGAGCGCCTCTCGGGATCCGGCCCCAGCTCTTCCTTCCCCGCCCGCGCAGCGCAGCCCGCTGCAGTTCTCCCTGCCCGGGCGGGGGCTTGCTGCCACACACTGGCGTAGAGGCCCGGGAGCCACGTCCCTGCTTTGAATCATGGCTGCAGGGCGAGTTCTGGCTGCTCGCGGGTGTGTGGCCGGCAGGCTAGCGGGCATGCGAGCGCCTCTCGGGATCCGGCCCCAGCTCTTCCTTCCCCGCCCGCGCAGCGCAGCCCGCTGCAGTTCTCCCTGCCCGGGCGGGGGCTTGCTGCCACACACTGGCGTAGAGGCCCGGGAGCCACGTCCCTGCTTTGAATCATGGCTGCAGGGCGAGTTCTGGCTGCTCGCGGGTGTGTGGCCGGCAGGCTGCGCTGGGCGCCAGATGCACTCGGGCGGGACTCGCTCTGCCTCTCCTGAGCCTGCGCTTGTCCCCGGGAGCCGCTGCTTCTCATTAACGCGCGCGCCTGTTTCTGACACGCTGCCTGGCGGTGTGTTTCCAGGGCATGGCTTTGTTTATGCCTGGGGATGGCGGCGGGTATGACAGCCAGGCGTGGCGATTTGTTTGTGTTCGAATTTACAAGCAGCTGGATGACACTTGATTTCCCCTCTCCCTTTTCTTGAGAGGCGATGTACTGCTGCCCAGCTGTGCAGGTAACTTAATACTTTTGCTAACGGTTGATTCCTTCCCCACCCCCAACTTAATTCCAAGGTGCCATGGATGGGGTGGTTGTCTAGCTGTACAGAGATTTTAGCGCATTTTAAAAACAGCGGGATGGCACCTGAATTGCCTTTGTGGTACTGAAATACTGCTGTTCTGCTTTAGCGGTAACTAGAGTTTTTGCAAGCACCTGGATGGCAGCTGATTCTCTTTTCACACACACCCTCCATTCCAGGAGTGCAGCATACAGCACTATTGTCCAGCTGTGTAGGTACCTTAGTACAGGTGCAAACTGCTGGGTGACAGTTGACTTTCCACCCTCTCATAGAGTTGCTCACTTGTGCAGCTAATACAGTCATTCTCTCTTCTCCACTTCGCTGTATTTCCCCTTCCCAAGGTAGATCCTTGCATGTGTTATCTGGTTGTGTTTTGATATTTGTACTGGCTAGATAAGTTCTCTCCCCTTTCTCAGGATACATGGTTTACACTTATCTGTCTTGTACATAGCTGGATAACTGTCTCTGGGAGACTGGCTGGGAATTAGAGAGAAAGAACCCCAGCCTACTGTCCTCTTCCTCTCCTGCTTGTCTCATATAGGCATCATTTAGGGTATGTATATGCTAGACTGCTGTATCCTGAGTTAACTGTCAATCACCTACGAAAAGTCTAGTCCCGGCAATCCCTTAGGGCTCTGAAAAAATATAGTCCATAGTGCAGCAGTAATTTAAGGAAATTACGGAGGGAAAGGGAAACTAGATGTAAGGGCCCGAGTCTGTCTGAGAAGAAATTGTCCTGCTATCCAACAAACCAGCACATGTGGCTGCCTTCAACATCAATTTTCAGCATCCCTTGCAAATTGTCCTATATCTGTTCCTCTGCTCGATGGCCCTACCAAGGGAAATAGGAACTATGACTAGGTTATGCATATTGAATATGTAACAATATCATTGAAACCATGTTTAAACATGGTTACAGCACAGTGACTGGAAAGGGGTGTTTATCTGACGGTTGCGTTCTGAGCATTCCAACTAGTCTATAGCTTACCTGTTCAATGTAGTCATGTACAGGACAAAAGCATTGGTTCACACAGTGCAGGAAACACCCTGGTTGCTAACAGAGCTTCAGGTGGTGTTTGGATAAAGCCTAAACAACAGACAAAAGTTGTTTTTTCTTTGTTTTTTAAAGGGGAAGATTGTAAATGTTGACTGAAGTTCGGAATAAGAGCACATGGGTTTTTGCAATAGGATCTTTTGACGGTGAAACAAACAAATTAGCCCATAGTCAGTAGTTCAGTATAAAATACAAACAGCATTGCAAGAACTGTTCCTGTTGCACACACTTTTGAAACTGTGTTTATATTGCATACAGTGAGAAAACATGATGGCATGTAATAGGGATGTGAATGGTTAACCGGTAAGCATCATCCTTGCTGGGTGATGCTTACCCATTACGGTTAACTGGTGGTCTGGAGCAAGCCTCCATCTGCTGTGAGCAGGGGTTGCTTCAGCCCTGTGGGGGCCCACTGTTGACATGAGGCTCTCTAACCTGGCCAGAGCAGCCCCTGTCTGCAGTGGGTGGGGGGCCACTCTAGCCTGTCTGCCTCAGTTTAGTTGGTTAACTGGTTAAACAGAGTGTTTAACCAGTTAACTGATTAATCAAGATGTTGCATCCCTAGCATATAATGCAGGGGTGGGGAATCTAAGACCTGGGGGCCAGATGCAGCTGCTGGCTTGCCTAGATCCAGCCCCGGAGGCTCGGGGCTCCCCCCAGTATTGGGGAGTAGGGATGTAAAAAAGCAGTCGATTAGTCCACTACTTGCATTCCCCCTGCCTCCTCTATATCAGAGGCAGCAAGGCTGTGGGGGGAAAAAAGAGTCAGTGCTGGGGGGAGCCAGCTCAAAAACCAGTTCCCCCAAGCGCTGTCTCCATGGTGCCACTCCCACCCCTCCCCATGCTGCCGCCACCGCCTCTATTCTGTGTGCCCAGCTATTACTACATTTAAACTGCAGTCGCAGAGGGAGTAGCTCCTTCTGAGCGCCTTCCCTTATCGACAGATTGTATCATAATTACCCAATTACCCACCTCTTAACATCCTTAATGGGAAGCCCATGCTGGTGAGGGTTTTTGTTTTGTTTTGTTTTGTTTTGTTTTGTTTCTCACTTATGTGCATCCCTGGACTGATTTTTCTGTAGTAGCCTCTGACTCAAAAAAGGTTCCCCACCCCTGATATAATGGAAAAAAGGCTTTCCTGTTTACTGTAATGGGGTAGATGCTTTAACCCTTCATAGGTTAAAAAGCCACATGCCGTCTCATCTTGTTTATAATTGGATATAATACTTGCTATTTCCAGGCTTTTAGTTTTATTAGTACAGATTTTCATATCTCTGTGTCTGCATGGCCAGGTTACCTTAGTTACCACAGATAAGCTTTGGATGGGAAGAAACTGAGTGTGTATATGTCACATAGTCCCCATGTTCGGTTCCACATTTCATAAATCTTCAGAGCTAGTTACAAATACGGCCCCAGTCCTACATTTGGATTGCTGAGGTCAACTCCTGTCCTCTCTTAGAAATCTACTGGAATCGATGGGCCTCTGCATGGTACAGAGGTCCACACTGGTAGATCCACTTTCAGGATTGGGTCCTCTGATATGTCCCTGGAGATTTTGAGATCTCAGCTCTAGCAAATGTCATAGAGCTTAAAATTGTCATTGGACTACAAGTGAAACACCAACTGAAATTAGAAATGGACTAATGTAAGGTTTTTTGTTTGTTTGTTTGTTTGTTTGTTTGTTTGTTTTTAAACTCCCTGGTTTCATCGGATCCACATTGGTAATGGCCAGAAGAAGTGGTGCATAGCTGCCTTTCTGATGCCAGATTTTTGGTTTTTGTGCAATAGCTTTTTGGAAGCTGCTCTGTGGTTTGGAATGTTGGAAAGTAGGTCCAACTGAGATTGCTGGCCAGAATGTAGGAGAGGGACTCAAAATAATGGATACTTTAAACATGTAGTATATCCCGTGGTTGCAAGATTAAAGGAATGCGTGCCATGGATAGCATAACCCTGTGTCACACGACTCTAAAATATGTGTTTGATTAGTTTTGTAAAGATTAGAGAACAGAACAGTTAGTAAATTGCTTTAAGTACTATCTAGTGCTAGAGGTGTGCTCTTATTATAGAGACTATTGTTTTAAGGAACATGCATTGTCTGAGTTGCTGTGTTAATGGATGAGCCCCTTGGGGCAGAGGACTGACCTATTAATAACCCTCCCCATCAGAGGTTACATTAGTTTAGCTTATTGTGCTGTGCTCCGTTCCCATAGATGTATCAAAGTCATGCTGCCATGATGCAGGGCTTAGCTGTCTCTACCGTCTGGTAATTTCACTGCTAATGCAGTAATAGATCAATGTGCACTGCTTTTGTTGTTAGTTTGTTAGCTTCTGTAACACAGGCTCACATAACTGTGCCCTTGCCCACCCGTCACCCTAAGCCTATGTTCCAGGAACAGTTCACATGTGATGTATCCCTAAAGTTAGTTTATGGAAAACAATGCAAGGTCTCTAGGCTATGTTCCTTTCCTGTTCACAGGCCTTGCTATTTCCTCAGCGTAACCCTCTCTTTTCTGTCACTAAGGCCACATCTAAGCTTAAAACTTGCCAGTGTAATCATAGAGATGTGTGGGGTTTTTTTAACAATACTTTTAAATCCTAGGCTAGCCATTGTTATACTGGCAAACAAATGCTTTGACACTATAGCTTGTTCCATTCAGACCCACAGGCCAGGCATAAGTGATAGCAGCCAAAACACTCCTGTGCCAGTTACACTAGGAGGGTGGGCTGGTATAGCTGTATCAATACATCTTTTCTAGTGTAAACTAGATACAGGAAACAGCTCCTCCCCTTACTAAAGTCAAGAGGAAAATGGAAATTGCCATGGCTTTAGTAGGAGCAAGGTCAGACCCTGAGTCTGTACTTCTAGACCAGTGGTCACCAGCCAGTAGAGTGGGATCTACTGGTAGATCCTGGAGCTTCTGACAGTTGATCCTGAGTGATTTGGCTGGGAGGCTGTCAAGTTGCCACACTTTAGCTGCCCCTCTCCCCACTGCATTTTTTGCTGCTGCCCTCTGTCTTGGAGTTCCCTGGGAGCCTCCTGCTTGCTGTGTGGGTAGAGGGGCACTGATGTCAGGGTGTCCCTCTCCTGTCTTCTCTACTCCATCTCCACGGGAGTTGGGGGCGGGTTGAGGGAGGTGTATTGGAACAATTTGTATAGTGAGTGAGCTGAGAGGCATTAAACCAGGCTCCAACCCCTTGGCCAAGGCTCAGCCCAGAATCCTTCCCACATTCTGAACCCGTTGGCCCAAGAACAGAGCCTGCACCTCAGTCACCTTCCCCAGCCTGGTGAAAGTGTGAGAAGGAGAAGGGATGGAATGTGGAGTAAGCAGGGTGGAGCCACAGATAAGAGGCTGGGCAGGAGGCGGGGCAAAGGTATTTGGGTTTGAGTTAGACCCTGGATTGTACGTACATTCAAAAAGTGATATTGTGCTTGAAAAGTTTGGAGATCACTGGTCTAGGCAGTTTGAAGTTGTTTCATCCCCTCTGGACATATCCCTGGTTCTTCTGAAATTCCATTGATCTTCTGGGCACCACCATTCATCTCTCTTGTAAAAACAAAAAACTTATTTTCTTGCTCTTTCAAACTTGCTGGCTCCAGAGAAGACAACTGCCCGCTTTCCCATTCAGAGGGCCAGAATTGTAATTGACCCATAATGAGGAAGAGCAAAGATTTCCCCATTTGCTTGGTGCAATAAAATCCTTTGACTCAATGCGAATTTTACCCTCTTGATCTTCTTAACTAAATCAAAGTAGTTAAATGTGTTTTTAACTATTGCATTTGGTGCCTGTGGTCTGGAGGTAGTTGTATTGGGTTCTAGAATGAGTGGGAGACCCCCCCCCTTTCAGGAACAGCACCTATCTTACGGGCCCAGTTGTAGCAGTTGATAATGCTCTGTAAAATGGGGCGAGGAGCTGAGATTACTGGATTCTCATTCTGTGGTTGCACACAAATCACACGTTTCTTCCATTTCTGTAAACATAGGGCCGTGGTGTATAAAAATAGATTTTTTTGTTGGAAAAATAAAAAAATTAGATTTTTTTAAAACTTAAATTGGTTTTTTGACTTTATTTAAATGTTTATTTTTTTAATAAATTATTATTTAAAATGAAATCTGACTTTAATATAAAATACATTACATCTAAACTTATGATAGCAATATTTACATAAAAGATAAATGTGCTGAATCCATGAACTTGTATCAGTAACCTTGAGCTAAAGATCATTTTTCTATATAAAGAACTGGGAAAAACATCCAGCTTTTGAGATCAAGCATCATAAGTATGGCACAATAGTTCACTCATGGTATTAGGGGCTTGTTTTTCATAATAGAAATAAATGTCATATGCTGTTTTGTGTGTTTAATTAAATTCCAGTTACCACACTAATGTAGTGTGGTGCAAATCATAAGCAAAAAGTTAATTATCTAGTAAATACACAATATATCATTCATCATTTTCAACATACTAAAAATGTACCTAAATAGAATATGAAAATATCAAGCTCTATAATTGCTTATATAAATGCCTGTAGTTATAGTTTACACTCCAGGGTAGCAAAAAGATGTAAGGAATCCAGTGTAATGGCTTTATATGAAAGCTAATAAATCTATTACTGTACTCTCTACAGTGCCACTGGACTCCTTGTTTTCAATAAATCAGCATGTGAGATTTGGAGATTTTTTAAGAGCAGGTTAGGCAAACACCTGTCAGGGGTGGGCTAGATAATACTTGTCCTGCGTTAAGTGCAGGGGACTGGACTAGATGACCTCTTGAGGTCCCTTCCAGTCCAACTGTTGTGTGTGTGGTTATACCAATCAACGAGAATGCACTTTTCTTTAGAAAATAACTGGGATACAAATGGAATTTTAATAAAATCAGTTATGAAAATCAAGGCTTTCCACTTCACTACTTAAATTCCTGATTTAAATTGCTTTGACTAGAATCTGTCTGCCCTGAGTAGGGTGATAATTGCCTACCTCACAAATGTGAAGATTAAAAAAATAATGTCTGTCAAGCATTCTGAACTCTGTGTATGGAAGTGCTATGGACAGGCAGAGTATTCCGTGTTTGAGAGGCCTTGTTCTTACGTCCTTCTCCCCCCTTACCTGTACTGTTGTTGTGTGTGGTCTTTAGCTCTGGTTAGCCCTGAAATTACTGTTGTGTGGGAGGACTCTGATATAAGAGTGTTGTTCCCAGACATAGTTGATACACAGTTCATCCTTACCCTGTAGATGGGAGCTAATAGTTTTAACCAGCCATGCAAAAGCCCAGAGCAATAGTATAATTCAGAACAAGGTAAAGCATGCTTTGATCTCATCCGTGTTGTAAAACAGGCCTATTTGTATCCACGGCTACCATGTTTTAACTTTAACCCCCAGCCTTATACATTATAGTATAATTAGAACCTTAGTTTTGGAAGTTCTCTGGGAATGTTATGTAAAGTGGCACATTTTGTAGCACTGTGCAGATGCTCTTTAATATAAGCAGATGGGATGTACACTGCACAATATAAACACTCAGATGACTTGCACCTCTGTCTTTCCATCTCATTGTTTTTTCTTCACTTTAAAGGACACGTGCCAATCCCTTTACATTTCATTAGTGTTTCTTTGTGCCTGATTATTCCTAGGCCTGGTCACCAGCATCTTACTCTCATTTCATGAAACCACACTTGTCTGCTAGAGAATTCCTCTCTAGATTAAAGCATCTTTTGGAGCTTCATCAACACCTTTCCTTGTTTAGCCAGCAGAGGGCTCTGCTACTGAAATATGCCTAAGGCTCACCCTCCCTTTGTGAGAGGAGGAGGCTTCTGTGTCCTGTAGGAAGTGCTTAAGTGGACAAACAAAATCAGTAGCCAAACACTATAATTGTGCTAAATACTTGTGAAAGCCATATGTATTTCTACAGCTAGTAGCCTGAGGGAATGTCAACACTGCAGTCAATCTCTCCTCTTCCCCCCACACTGATCCTTGCCTTCCAGAACTCTTGCTAAGGGGCTATTTAATTTAGCGATATAATAGTGTAGTCTGTGAATGCTATAGACTAAATGCATTCTACACACCCCTGCCAGTAAAATTTTTAGCAGGCTGGCCAGCAGCCCAGTTCAGTCCCCACTGGTGCCGGATCTGAGACCTACCCCAGCTGCAACTCTGCATTTAAAGTGTATTAGGAGCCAGGCAGGCAGGCATCTTGGCTCAGCTCTGGCTTGTGCTGGGTCCAGGAGCTCAGACCCCTTTCCTGGACAGGAGCTACTGCCACCCCACACTGCTGCCTCTGTATCATAGGCAGGAGCATGGGGCGACAAGCAACCTGTCTGCGAAGGGAGCTAGGAAGGAGTTGGTCTGCACAGGAAACTGTGTTTTAAACTGTTACCCCTGGCAGGCCGGCTCCCACCTCCCTGGAAGTGGGACTGGGAAGCACACTAGCTGCCTGTGTCCAGGGATTATCAAATAGTCATGTAACCGCTAAAATTTGATGCAGTTGCACGACTATTCAGTTACATGCTAGCTCTAGTATTGACCTCATTCATCAGCTATGTCTCTGTGCCAGTCAGGGATGTGATGTTACTGTGTCACTGTAGTGGTGGGAGATAACTTTAAGTGTAGACGCATGTCAACCCAGCTGCAAGATGGTTTGCATTTACTGAACTTTGTAGTGTAGACCAGGCTTTAGAGAACAAAGAGGTTTCTAGTAAACATGATCTCTCCTGCCCACTTACAACAGTTTCATCTCTCTGTCACCTTCCGAGGAGTTCGCCTTCCTAGATGTGCTGTTTGTGTTCCTGGTAGCACATAAATTGGCAAACAAATGCAAGAGATAAGCTTCCCCTCAGTCTCACATTTTGGACTTTTTTTGGTGAATGTGTGTGAGGGGGGCAGACCTTACCTCACATTGCATGGATTTGTTTTTTGGGCTTTTTGTCTCTATTCTGTTTAACCTGTCTGTTGAAGAAATGCAGGGAGTATGGTATTTTTCTCATCTGCTGAATTGTAAATTTTCTTCTGCAGGAAGTTGGACCCACGATGGTTGGAGATGAACATTCTGATCGACATCTGATGGACTACCTGGGTGCCATTAAGAGGAACATGCTGGGGAACCATTTGTAAGTATTTCTTGTACTGTTTCTCTATCTGCTTCCCCTTCTCACTATGTCCAATCCTTTGTCAGATAGCTCCCCCTCTTTCTAGCATGTGCAATTGTCTCTTCTCATTAAAGAGATCAGTGGGATGAGGTCATATCTTTTCTTGGTAAGATAGACAGACTTTTGAGCTTACACAGAGCTGTTGTTAATTTCTGGGCAAAGTACTCTGAGTGTCACAGCTAAACACAAGATGGCACAGATTATTTAGCATTGCAGTTAATACATATTTCAAAGGAGGTGAAGTGTTCCATTAATGCCTCTCCAGTTTCTCATTAAGACAGATGTAGTACTGAACTGTAAGGAAACCAATGTTTCTCTCTGTGAGGCTGCTACCCTGAAGTCTATCACTCAACAAATGTTGCGGTGAATCCAGAGAACGTCCCTTTGTGCCATTTCTTTTCTCAAGAGAACAGGGTCATCAGCATGACTTCCAGTTGATAGACTTGATCTATAATGGGCATGCTTTGCAGAGCTTTCCAGTTAATTTGACCTTCTCTTTACAGGTAGAGAAACTGAGGCACATAGAGGTTATGGGGCAGGTATTTTTACTGTTTGTAGGCACCTGAACTGGGATTTTGGATCAGAGTTTTAAATATGTTTTAGGCACCTACATGACTTATCCAAGAGCAACTAGCAAGTTAGCAACAGAGCTAGGATTAGAAGTTGGGACTCTTCTAAGGCATTAGCCCAGGGAGAGGCAAGATACCTCTCGTGGGCTGAATCCGGCCTGCTAAGGATCCTCAGGCACACACCAGCCACTGTTTTAAACGCAGGGCTGCTCCGTGTGACTCTACTCTGGAGGGAAGGGGAGGCTTCTGGTGATCTCCCGGTCCCCAGCCCAATCCTCAGCTCCTATTGGTTGAAAACAACCAGCCAATAGGAACTGACCCCAGCCAATCTCTCAGCTCCTATTGGTCAGAAACAACCAGCCAGTAGGAGCAAGAGATTGGCCTGGGGGATGAAGGCAGCACAAGCCTCTCCCTGCTCCCAGGGTGGAGAGCCATGTGAAGGGAGCATTTCTACATGCATTTCCTCCCCACAACCACCTGTCAGTACATTTTTTAGTGGGCCGGCCAGCAGCCCAGCTCAGTCCCGGCTTGCACCCCCTCTGTGGCTTTGCATTTAAAGTGTATTAGGAGCCAGGCAGCCCAGCTCAATTGCGGCTCCTGGATCCAGGAGCTCAGACCCCTCCCCCCTGGACAGGGGCTGCCCGGGGACTATAGAATAGTCGACTAACCGATAAGAATTAACGAGGTTAATCGACTATTCAATTAACCCATATTTAACATCTCTAGTCTACACATACAGCTGACCTGTGCCAGCTGACTCAGGCTGCTGGGCTACATAACTATAGGTATTAGGCTTGGGCTGGAGCCCAGGCTCTCGGACCCCACAATGAGGGCAGGTCTCAGAGCTTGGTTCTAGCCTGAGCCTGAACATCTTCACTGCAGTTTTACAGCTCTGCAGCCTGAGCCCTGCAAGCCTGAGTCAGATGACACAGGTCAGCCGTAGGTATTGTATTGCAGCATAGACATACCCCTCATGTCTCTATCCCCAGGATGGAAGTGGTGGAAATTGAGGTACAGAGGAGCAAAGTGACGTGCCCAGGATGATGCAGTAGCATGTCACTGTCTTAAAGTAAGACTTGCTCACACTGCCAGGAAGCATTTCTTGATGCTAAGCTTACATCTTTCCTTTTTCTGTCGTCATGTTTCCATTTTACTACCCTAAATTCCTTGCTGTTTGCAGTCTCCAAATTTCTGTTGGCTCTTCTCATGGTGCACACCTTCCTTCTCCTGCTCCACCAAAATACCCATAGTTTGCTTTGTTGCCTTTCCTCATAATGCAGTCCCTTAGTCAGCCCCCTAATCATTCTGTTGCCATTATCTGAGCGAGTTATTAATATTTCTGATACTGAAGTGCTCAGAACTACACACAATAATCCAGATGTAGTTGCACCAGAACTGCATAGAGAATAACTCACTTCCTGGTTCCCTGATTTGGTTCCTGGCCTCTTCTGCTGCTAGAATCCACTGCAAGCTGACACCCAGTTTAGCCACTCTCTGCCTTGCTGTTGCCCTGATGTCCCTTTTGAATGCCTGAACCACTGCCCACTGAAATCAAGAGGAGCCTTTCCATTGACTTCTGTGGGCACTGGATCAGACCCTGAGTGAATTTCCAATTCCTTCCACCCCCAGGCATATTAGTTTGTATTTTTCCAAGTGGAGTTTTTAATGCCACTTTCTGCCTGTAATGCTACTTTCTAGTTTCTCTAGGCTCCTGCATATTATTTTGCTGTTTCTGTGTTGATTCTGACACCACCTTCTACTTGCAAGTGACACTGACATGTTATTTGCATCCAAAATCCAGTCCTACTTGATCTGCTTATTTCTCTTTGGAAAATATTAAAACAGAGGAGAAGCTATTAGAGGGTAAGTTTAGAAGACAGGATACACAAAGAACAAGTTAAAAATCACTTAGGAAAGTTAGATGTCAGCAAGTCACCAGGTCCTGATGAAATGCATCCCAGGATACTCAAGGAGCTGATAGAGGAGGTATCTGAGCCTTTAGCTATGATCTTTGAAAAATCATGGCAGACAGGGGAGATTCCAGAAGACTGGAAAAGGGCAAATATTGTGCCCATCTATAAAAAGGGGAATAAGAACAACCCAGGAAACTACAGACCAGTCAGTTTAACGTCTGTCCCAGGGAAGATAATGGAGCAGGTAATTAAGGAAATCATATGCAAACACTTGGAAGGTAATAAAGTGATAGGGAATAGCCAGCATGGGTTTATGAAGAACAAGTCATGCCAAACTAATCAGATAGCTTTCTTTGATAGGATAACGAGCCTTGTGGATAAGGGAGAAGCGGTGGATGTCATATACCTAGACTTTAGTAAGGCATTTGATACGGTCTCGCATGATATTCTTATTGATAAACTAGGCAAATATAACTTAGATAGGGCCACGATAAGGTGGGTGCATAATTGGCTGGATAACCGTAGTCAGAGAGTTGTTGTTAACGGTGCTAAATCCTGCTGGAAAGGGATAACAAGTGGAGTTCCTCAAGGGTCTGTTTTGGGACCCATACTGTTCAATATCTTCATCAATGATGTAGATATTGGGATAGAGAGTACGCTTATTAAGTTTGCAGATGATACCAAACTGGGTGGGGTTGCAACTTCTTTGGAGGATAGGGACATAATTCAAAATGACCTTAGCAAGTTAGAGAAATGGTCAGAGGTAAACAGGATGAGGTTTAATAAAGAGAAATGCAAAGTGCTCCACTTAGGAAGGAACAATCAGTTCCATACATACAAGATGGGAAGCGACTGTCTAGGAAGGAGCATGGCAGAAAGGGATCTAGGGGTCATAGTGGACCACAAGTTGAATATGAGTCAACAGTGTGATGCTGTTGCAAAAAAAGCAAATATGATTCTAGGTTGTATCAACAGGTGTGTTGTAAGCAAAACTCGTGAAGTCATTCTGCCGCTCTACTCTGCACTAGTTAGGCCTCAGCTGGAGTACTGTGTCCAGTTCTGGGCACCACATTTCAAGAAAGATGTGGAGAAATTGGAAAGGGTACAGAGAAGAGCAACAAGAATGATTAAAGGTCTAGAGAACATGACCTATGAAGCCAGGCTTCATGAACTGGGCTTGTTTAGTTTGGAAAAAAGAAGATTAAGGGGGGACATGATAGCGGTTTTCAAATATCTAAAAGGGTGTCACAAGGAGGAAGGAGAAAATTTGTTCCTCTTGGTTTCTGAGGACAGGACAAGGAGTAATGGGCTTAAAGTGCAGCAGGGGAGGTTTAGATTGGACATTAGGAAAAAATTCCTAACTGTCAGGGTGGTCAAATATTGGAATAAATTGCCAAGGGAGGTGGTGGAATCTCCCTCTCTGGAGATATTTAAGAACAGGTTAGATAGACATCTGTCAGGGATGGTGTAGATGGAGCTTGGTCCTGCCTTGAGGGCGGGGGGCTGGACTCAATGACCTCTCGAGGTCCCTTCCAGTCCTATGATTCTATCTTTCTGCTGACTACAGTCCATCTCCATCTTTGAATGGAGAAGGAGGAAAAAAATAGCATCAATCACACAGAAGGAGCCCTACTCACTTCCTCTTATGTTGTAAAGCTTTAGTGATCTGAGCTTGGCAAAATCCCTTGCTCACTCATCACCCTGGAAAATGGAGGCCTAAATTATCTACCTCTCTAGTGCTTAAATTCTCAGTTGGAAGAAAAAGTCCTAGTCCTTATGGTTGAAGAGAGCCTTCCAAATATTAGACAGCGCTGCATTAGTTTCCTGCATCCAGTTCTACTGCCTCTTCTGCCCCCTAGCCTAGCTTTGGCACTAGAATGGAATTTACAAGTATGATCAGTTTCATGCTGCTATTCAGAGCCACTGGGTAGCAATGAAATTGCCAAGAAATTCTTTGTTTCATGCTGCTGCTGTTCACAGGGCTATGAATGGGGGCAGGCAGTGGAGTAATGCCTGGGGAAAGAGGACCCCAGCAAAAAGCCCTATGGAAAAGCCTCCCTACCTCACCGCTGCAATCACTGCTAGATTTTGTTTGTTTTTAAAGAAGGAATAACACCAGAAAAATCCCAGGGCTCTCAATAGCTGGGGAGGAGCTTCCAATTTGTAAGACACTTCCTAATCAGAAGCAGCTATAAAAGCAAATCATGACTGAGGTAAGGCATTTGATAGCAATCCCAGAATCTAGTCCTGTCCAGTAGTAAGGGGGTTGGGCTTTCCAATAAGGAGCTGAACCCAGGACTCCTCCTGCCCCTCATATTTTGTATCTGCCTCAGACTACTATGCAGTGCAAGCTAATGATCACACTGTTCATTTGCTATGATGGCATGTGTACAGGCTAGTTCTTGGTGGCCACAGCGGAGAGCAGCAGCTCTGTGCTGCCTCCTCCCACTGCGGGGTTTGAAGCAAATAACCCCCTTGGAATGCAGCAGCTCCATCTCATTAGCCCAGCAGAACCGGTTCAGAGAGGCAGGAAGAGCAAAGCTTAACTCCAAGCAAAATGAAGCACTTCAGGATTTCCTGTCTACCTCCTTGTAAACAAAGCTTCACAATGGGTGGATTTCACTGTGTTCTGAGCGTCCCTAATGCAGTTGTATAACCAGTATTTTATTATAAGCCTGAAACTCAACCACAAATTGCTGCATGTAGATCTGAGTTTGCTGTGAGCCTGAAATAAAAGCTCAAAGGGAGACAAACTGTGCCTGAATTCTTGTTAATTCAGGTACCTATTTATAACACTGACATTAAGTATTTCACAGCCTGTAAGAAAGAGGGATGAATACCTTGTGCAAAGCTGCGCCATATACTGTGAGAGGCATTTCATTTTAGAACCTCCCCATCCCCCCATCTGATCTGTGCAGTGGAGCTGAGATCTGAGCCTCAGTAAGGAAAGCGCCAATACTGCACAGCCAGCAGGGTGTCTAAAAGCCCTTCCCAGCATCTGGGGGCGGGTCTGGTCATCTTTGGTGGTAGGTGTAGGGCCAGACAGCTTTTTCTTATCCTGCAGGCTCAAGCAGACGCTACTGCATCAGTTACAGGTGGGTCACATGACCAGGCTTTTCTTGTAATGATGGATAGCAACTTTTATTTTTAAATAAGAAAATTAAAGCTTAGAAAATGCCTTCACTGGAAAGCTGGGAGGCTGAGTCCAAAGTATGTGTTTATTGTGCCTATTGCTTAATCTATCCCTGTCCCAGGGTATATCCAAATCCCAAACCGAAGAAGCCCAATCAAGCACGTGTGATCATATTTTGAACATCTGCATAGGTCACTCTAAGTTGTTTCTTATTGTTGTCCCAAACAGGCTGAGTCTGGGAGAGCACTGCAACTTTTTGTTTCCAGCTTGAGCCCTTGAATTATTTAGTTTAGGATCTCCCAATTTGGCACATTTATGTTGGCAGTGCTTGTTACTAAAGGCTGGGTGGCTAATATGAATTATTCAGAATGGACCCCAGGCTAATGCCACTTGGTAAGCTTGAGATTTAAGCTCTGATGATGTCGGGGAACATTACATTTTTCTGTGCTAGCTTTTAAGCTGGAGAGGAGGCATTTGTAAATTTTGACAGTCAGTCCACAATGGTTCAGCCAGATTACAAACACTGATGGCCAAATCCCTGAGTTAAATACAATGTGTCTTTTGTCTGCCCAACTAAGGGTCTTGTGTTTAAAGCACACAACAAAAAAATCCAACCTGGGTTCTGAGCCTGGCTCACCATCAATTTGTTCAAGCATGGGTAAGTACGAAGTTTTCCTGCCTCAGTTCCTTCAGCTGCATAATGGAACTAGTATTTACTTACCTCAACATGAGCCTAAATTGACACTTAAAAAGCATGTTGAAAGCTTCTTATGGGAAGTATTAAGTTCAAAGGCAGGTAGAGTCTTTATACAATACCTATAATTATAGCTAAGTATGGTGTCAGAAGATATAAAATAGATGTCTTCAGCAAGCTCTGACATTTCCACATCATATTTTAAAAATACTCTCCACCATATTTTTAAGTAATATTTAATAACCTCAACTTTTTTTTACAACCAAGTTTTCTGGGGGGATTTACATTTAGAAGTCGGGAAATCCTCTCGGTTGGCACATGCTCAATGCAGACAACCCTCAGAGAATTTAGCTGCCAAACTCTAGTATTCCTACTGAGTCAGCATAAACTCATATTTATCATAGGCTCATAGCTCGGCCAAAATTGTGACTCTTTGTAACAGGAAAAAGCTCATCCCTGACAGATTTCAGCAGTGTCTTGTACAGATTAACTTGACATTGCCAGAGACCCAGGGCTCTTTGGAAGGAAAGCTGTGCCTTTTCCATCCTGTACAACTTTTCCATCTTGTTTCCTTTCCTCTTGTTTGGCTGTAGCTGGGAGTACTACGTGAACGACGCACCCCGTATTGTGTTGGACAAGCTGGAGAAATATGGCTACCGCGTGGTCAGCATGACAGGGGTAGGCCAGACTCTGGTTTGGTGTCTCCACAAGGAGTAAAATGGAAGACTGCAGAGTTCCACCTGGACAAACCGTTGCTGAGGATCATCTAGCACAGGACTGGCACTGAGCTTCCTCACTGCTTAATTCCTTTTTGTCCCAGTTTCCAGGTACCCTCAAGAGAAATGCTGCATAGTCAAAACTTCACATAATGGAAAACAGCCTAAAGGGAGGCAGACATGCCCACTTAATTGTAAGGCTAACTCATGTATGAATCCTTTGGAGAGTCAAAGCCTTCTCCTAAGTATTTGTCTGAATGGCAGTCTGGAAAATACCAGCATTTTAAGTGTTAACCGTGTCCATTCAGTAAGTATTTGAGTCAGGTCAAGCACTAGCCTTGTCTTGCCCCTGCTTGGGACTGCCCTGGAGAAGTTCCTCTCACAGATAAGGCCCCTATTTAAATGCAGCTCCGGAATAGGTGTCTCAGACTATTTGTTGCACTCTCCTTGGAACAGTAAGAACAGGCTGCCAGACCCAGTCCCTGCTATTTGAACAAGCTCACTTTAGCCTTGAGAACAGTTTGAATGTGGACTCTCAGGTGGGATTATGGCTAGCAGAGGCAGACATTGTCCCAGTCAGCCCTGCGACTGCCATTCCAGTATAACACCTGCTCTGAGCTATCTTTAAAGAAGTAGATTGCAGGAGAAAACACCTGTGAATTTCAGGTATTGGCTGTGTAATTTCACCAACTGCAATGTAATTCTTGGATTGATTTGTACTGATCAATTCCTATGGTACCTGCTAAAGTAATAAAGCATTCATAAAAGAGAGACCGTGTGATTTCTTTCCATGGGCTACTTTCAGCAGTCTACGTCTGTGACTGGAGAAGCTATATGAAAAACCTCTGGTCCTGTATAAAATTCAAGACATAATCCTGATACAGCTCTTACATCTGGGGGAGCTGCATTTTGTTAGCACTGCTCAGAAAAAGCTTCTTCATTACAGGCCAGCTACTGTTTTAGGGTCTGGATTAGGTGACAGCCATTCTAATGTCCTACCCCTGCCATCTCTCCCTTCCAAGGTGTGAGTGGATATTGAATGTTAGCTCTGTCATTCTTCCCCATCTCTCCCCCCCCCCAAAAAAAAAATTCCCATAAATTTTAAAAAAGGTTTATTGACTTAATTTAAGAAAAGTTTCTAGCTGAAGGATAGGGGAAAGAATGTGTGTTGCACCATGCTATGTGTGCGACTCTTCCTCATCTTCCCGTTGGAGCTGCTCAATCAGTTGCTGTCGCTCAGCTGCTTGACGCATCCGCATCATAACCAAGCTTTCATAATCCCGCTCTGAGAGGACAGAATCCTAGGGAACACATAACAGAACTGGATTGTAAAGAACAGTTTACACCCCAGTTTCCAACCTCCCAGAAATCCTCACTATACAAACATAGCACAGTGCTGCATCTGGCATGTCAGCAGGTTGGAGATACCCAGCTGGGTCAGGTTACCAAGGACATTTGTTACTGTATAATGTCTATTGTCATGCAGACACTTGACTGCTTGGCCTGCATCAGAATGAGCCCCATCTTTGCCAGGCTCAGCAGAGAGAACAAAGACAGAATGGGATCAAAAGACTGATTTAGCCTGGTGTGGGATTAGCTGGAGGGGTTACAGGATATGTGAAGGGTTGATGGGGCAGCCCATGGAAGCTTGCACTACCACTAATCCTGCAATACCTAAGAGGAGAATTCTCAAATACACTAAAGCTCATTTCCATAAGCAAACAGAATTAAACATTGTGCTTTGCTTGAGTAAATATAACTTTGTTCTCAGGCTGGCAGATTATTCTAGGATATTAGAGACACACTGTCAACTTAATCTAGTCAGTGTTTGCACTGGTTCCTCAGCCCCCTTATGTCAGTTTGTGTGGTTTTATACACGTTTTTTGTGTGTTCCTCACTCCTGTGTACAACCCATATGAACAAGGGAAAACGACCATCCACAAAATCAAATAAAATATTTCTGATCATTCAGTTCTAGAATCTTTAATATTTAAATGAGGCTAGAAAAAATAATTCAGGTATAACTGATCTGAGTTATTGGTGTTTTCTAGTATTCATTGTTTTCTGTTCTTTAGCAAGCTTGTACTGTTAGAGTTAATTTAATGTTCCTTCTCAAATCACCGCAAAAGTGATCTGCAATTGCTAAAAATGAAGCTCCCTTGCTATCTTTCCAAAAATAATCCTTCCCCAAGAATGAAAACTACTGATGTTTCAAATATTGTGCAACAATATAAGTAAACGTAAGCAATAAACTCACTCAAATTCTACAGTACTGTTACCTCTAATGTCAATTGTACTGTGTAACTAAAAACAGTACAACAGTAAAGAGTCACATGTATATATTGCCAGGTACAAAACCAGACTTCCTATAATATTAAACTTCTCTAAAATGTACTCAAGTGATTTTGTACAAAAGTAGCAGCTGCTTACCTAGATCTGCTCCCACCTGTTTGTGAATCATCTTCTTTACCAACCAAAATAATGGTTAGGCCATAGGTACTAAGACCACTGCCTTCTGTGATGACCCATATAAGCTCATTGGTTCTTTGTACTGTCTATCTGTATCCACCTCTTGTGTCTTGTACTTAAATTGTAAGTTCTCTCTGCGGCAGGGGCTGTCTTTCTGTTGTGTGAGTACCTTAGCACAATGTGGACAGCTCATAGGCATTGTGTTAGCACTGAGGAGCCAAGGTAGCTGTGCTGCTTTATGTATCAGCAACTCCAGTCAGCTAGAGGTTGACGGTAGAGTCTTAGTTGCCCATGAGGCAAGTGAGAGAAAACAGCTACCTTGTCAGAGCCCAGCTGCTTTTTGTGGCACTGGTATTTGCAAAGTGACTGAGTACATGGTCCCATCCCCCAAGATTTCCCCAAAATATAGCAACATCTTTACATATTTGTCTTGTTCTCTTGACACCTAGAAGTACCAAAAAGCCACCTTAACAAAATAACAGTGAAAATGAATAAAATGTTAATGTTCACGTTGCTGGGAAAAAGTCATGTTCTATGCTGACTGAAACAGACATCTGAATATGAAAGGGCAAGAAAAGCCGACCCCTAGAGGAGAAGGAGGCAGGTATGAATGCTCCATCACACCCCAGGAAAGTGCTTCCTCCAGTGGAGAGAGGGAATAGGTCTGAGAAGGATAGAGAGCCCAGGATAAAACTGATCTCTCAAAGTGGGAAGATGGGAGACTTATGCTGTTACTGATATTTTAGCATCTATATTAACAAACTTATGATTCAGACACCAGCAAGGATACAGGTAAGATCAGAGAAAGTCAGCACTTGTGCCAAATCAAATCAATCTTCAGTGGCTGAACTAGATCCCTTCATTGCTAACCTGGAGCTCCTACCCAATGAACAACTTCCCACTGCCATCTGCCTGGGTTGGTTAATTAGCTAACACGAGGCACTTGCACGTGAGTCACCAACAGCAGAATGTATGCATCACCACCCGACACTTCAGGCTTTAAAATCTAAAGGAGAAAAGAACCGCCCCCTCCTTCCATCTGTAGAGCTCACCAATTCAGTGAGCCAATCAGAAATCACCGTGGTTAGAGCTTTATAGGGAGAATCCAAGTTTTCTCAAGCGGTGTTACAAAACAAGAGGTCATGTTGCTGAATCTCCTGAAATCAATTTAAATGCTCCCCAGGAATCTTGCCTTCTCCTCGGACAGAGCATGGGTTGATGCTTCACTACTCTCCACATACCTACTTCCTGCAATCTTGGCAATTACCAATAGTGCAAAACCCAGTTTCTGACGTGGCTGACTCAGCAAGGGCTTGGCTCAAAACAAACACATACGCACAAGGAATCAGAGCCTGGGAAGCAGTGACAAGAGGCAGATGACGAGAGGTGGAAGAGAGCAGAAGAGAAAGAGGCACTAGGATTTACCGGCTGTTTCCAAACCAGCAGAATCTTGCCAAGAGGTGCTGATCACGACACAAAAACATCTACGGTGGTGGTCTTGGTTCTGGTTTCTGAATTCAGCCATCTCCCTTCTGCCTGCAAAACTAAGCTGCTGCTCTGCCTCAGTAAGTCATTATTCTAAAATCAATTTTCCTATTGCTCGTTTCCTATAGAGTCTCTACTACTTGCTTTATTTGAAATTCCTCTAGGACTGTATTTCTTTTGTGCGCTTCAGTTTGACAGAGCTAATGGCTCCCCTTCTACCTACTCAGTGAGGCTTTTGTGCTGTGCCCTTCACCATGAAGGTGCCTGGTTACCATGGTATCAACATGCTCTTCTATTCTAGATGCTGGGTTAATCTGTTCTCATTGTGTCTACATGCCATTGCTGCTGTTCACCAGGTTCTTTTCGCAGCATAAATAGGCAGATATCATAATCCTTATTATACTAAAGAGGGACACTCCTATAGAAAATGAACAAAAGATCTGGTAGTTCCATTAACTCAGGGCGAGGTTAGAAATGAGTTTGCATTTCTTATGATACTAGCCTGTTTTCTCACTTACAGGAGTTGTGGCTCTTTGCTGAACTCAAGACTGGAGTCCAGTAGCCTCCTACACAGTGCAGTAAACAACTCCCTTCCTTTTGCTGCCTAGCATGGATACTTGGCGGAGAGGATCCATCAAATCCACAACGTTCTTCAAGCGTCTTTCGTTCAGGAGGCATAAAAAGCTGGGTAATCAAGTCATCATCTTGAATCAGAACAGCCAGACACTTGAGAACAGTGGACAGTACAAGAGGGAACCACTAAGAGACCTGAAGGATAAATCAGAGTACCTGTTATGTAAAAGTGAGCAAAACCTAGCCCAAGCTCAGGCACCTCCAAAGCCACCCCGACTGTATCTAGACAGTTCCAGCTGCCCCAACATAATTGACCACACGGAGTCTCACTCTACAGCCATTTCCTTTTCCAGTGCTACTCCTCAGTACCATAAAGCCACGCAAACACACGTGACTAACTCCCACACAGACCAGGCTACGGACTGGGGGACCTCTGAAACTGGCTCTGACCTCTTTCTTTCCTTCAAAGTGGACTTGGGGCTATCACTCCTGGAAGATGTTCTGCAGACTCTCAGGAAACAGAATCCAAGAGATTATGCAGCTTGAAAGGGTTTACCAATTAATTTATTAAGTTAATTATCAGCATTTGGTAGTTTCCTTACCCCTCACAAGAGAAGAGGAGATACTGGCGTATCCCTACCCTGGAGTGCCTGTCTTATTGTCCTGTCTTACCCACCGTAAGCCATTTGTGTCTATTCTCAGAGCACCCTTCCCACTGAGCTGTCAGTGCACCAATATGAGAGAGCCACACACTGGACTCCAGTCTAATGCACTTCCATTTTCTACAATGGACAGGGAAATTCCTCTCCATTGCTGACACTGTACCTCATCTTGGGGAAAGAAAGGCCACATTCTGTACAGAGACCTGTTATTTTTGGAACCCCGCTGGGACTATAAAAGGCATGAGGAGAGCAAGGGGCATACAAAAAGGATTCCTGGGTAACTGGACAGTTTGGAGGAGATGGCAGCTCCTGTATTTCAAAGCCAAGTGAAGCAAAGACAATCGAGATAATGATTCAGGATGTTCCTTTTCCAGTGCATTTTTGTATCTCCCCTCCCAACTCTGTGTGATGGGCAGCATTCCCATCAACCTTGTAACTGGAAAAAGGTAAGCAGACAAAACGGCTCACAACATAGCAACAGCGAATTCTACATCTTATTAGCAAGTGGAACAATTATGTAGATATTGCTTCTTAGAGCATGCTTTGAATAATCAGCTGTAAGTAATCACAGGTGAGAATAAATGTATCTGTCATTATAAGTCTGTCTTTGCCTCATTTCACTTGTACCAAGCCACAACAATAAAGGTACCAAGATCACAACTCTCTTGATTTGTGAGGTAAGTGTCCATTGGGGTTCTGTCCTCTTTGATCCCTCATCTTTTTACTACAAAGGTGTTGGGGGGCAGTGAAGTTACTGCTTGGCACCAATTTCTTCTACTCCTAGTGGGAAAGGCTAGAACTGCAGCAGTTGGGACATCCTTCCATTAGCAGATACTGTACTAATCATCTAGGCCAGTGGTCACCAACCAGTAGACCTTGGTGCCTCCGACAGGTGATCCTGACTGGTTTGGCCAGGAAGCTATTAAACACTGGCTCTTCAGTTGCCCCTCCACCCGCTATCATGCTGCTCCTGCCCTCTGCCTTAAAGCTGCCCCCTGGGAAGCCTCCTGCTTGCTGTGCAGGGTGTGGGAGGGAGAAGAGGGGTGTGTATGTCAGGGTGTCCATCCTCCTCCCACTTCTGAACCCCATCTCCACAGAGAGAAGGGGATGGAGGGAGCTTGGCAATGCAAATCTCTGACAGGTACACACAGTGCATGAGAGTGACTCTCTCAAACACCAACTGTCCTTCACTTTCATCTCTGACCCAACATGTGTGTGTGTATGGGGGGGGAGGTTGTTACTACTTTTACTGCTTGCATAGTGGGTTATTTTTGGTTTTTGACTGGTCTGTGCATTTCATAATTTTCATTTCTCTCTTATGCTTAAATTTAATTGAGCAGTGAGTTCTAAAATGCCTAACCCGTCATGGCTGGAGTAATTATCCCTGTGGTAACTGCTGCTCCTGGAAGTGGTTGGCATGTCCCTGCAGCCTCTGAGAAAGGCAGAGCAGGAGGAGGACTCCACTCCTGCAGCTCCCATTGATTCAATAATAGGGAACCATGTCCAGTAGAAGCCATGGGCTCAGTGCCTATAGACGAGGGGCAGCACGTGGAGCCATTGTTGTACATGCCAGCTGCTTTCAGGAGTGGTGCAGGTCCAGGGCAGGAGTAAGCCTGCCTTAACTCCACTGCTCCACCTGGAAACCATCTCAGTTAAACGGTGACCAAACAAAGCCTGCTTCCTGAACTCCTGTCCCAGCCACGAACCTCCTCTTCCTGCACCCAACCTCCTGCCCCGGACTGGAGTCCCCCTGCACTCAAACTCCTTCCCAGAGCTTGCACCCGAAAACCCCTCCTGGACTCCAATCCTCCACCCTGGGCGATGCCCTGAGCCCATCCCACACTCCAAACCCCTTCACCCAAGGTCAGAGCCTGCACCCCAACTCCCTACCCCACCCCCCTACCCCAGCCTGTGCAAGTGAGTGAGGATCAGAGAGGAAGGGAGATGGAGTGAGCAGGGTGAGGCCGTGGAGCAGGGGCAGGGCTTCAAAGAAGGGGTGGGAAGGAAGTGGGGCAAGGATATTTAGGTGTGAGGTAGATCTTACATTGCACTTAAATTGAAAAGGTGATCTTGTGGTTAAAAAGGTTGGAGACCACTGCTCTAGGGGTTACTAACCAGAGGCATCTGCTGCAGTTAGCCTTGGGTGAACTATATCAAAGAAGGTGCATATAACTCCAATCCCACTAGCTTCACATAAGACAAAAAAGCAGCATTAATAAGTCTTACTGCTACCTTAAAGTAGCTTAGAAAATGCATAGGACAGTGCCAGGGAGAAAGCTGCTTTCAGCAACTGTCGGACACCGCTGGAAACCTAGCTACCACTAAAGGGGCAGGACTGGTAAGAAGCTCTCAGACAAAACCTTCCTGATACCGATAAGACAGTGTTGTGAATGATTTGCTGGTGCCGGTGTATTCAACACTAAATAACAGCTATAATTTGTCAGACAAAAGCTTGCACAATGCCCCAGGGAGGTCATAGTCTACAGGGGGAAAAAACCGGTAGAACAGTTAGCGCACTGTAGTCAGAACATGGTGGCTCTGTAGCAATTTCCAGAAATAGAGCAGGGAGGGAGCTCAATTTAACATGAAGTGGGAGGCTAGTCGAGGCACATGAGATGGCATGAAAAAAAGCAGGAAGTATTCAAAGGCAGCAGCAGCTAAATGAGTGCAGATCAAAGGGATGGGATGAGGGTTGAGCTGAAGGACAGCTTAAGAGCAAGAACCTTGAACTTAATATAGAAGGGAAGCCAGAGAAGATACTAATGTAGGAGGTAGAAGTGGTCAGAACCAGGACTGGAGAGAGGAGAATTGATGGCACAGATCAATGCAGCCAGGACAAGAAATTACAAGAGCAGGGATTTATATTTTGGCAGCAGGGATGAATTTTGGAAATGTATGGAAATCAGCAGCATAGTTTGGGGAAGTCATGGGTAAGAGAGGAGAAGGAAGGGCAGGAATGAAAAAGGATCCCACAGTTCTCAGGCTGGGGAACCAGAGGATTGGAGGGTGCTATCATGGGGATGGTAGGTGTTACTTATAACAGTAGTGTCGCCAGGCAGAAATGTAATTTTTCAGCTAATGTACCTTTCAGGGATAGGCCACAAATACTCACCATTCTAACAAGGGACTCTCAGCCCCGCCAGACTGGAGAGCCTCTGTTAAAATTCGACACTTACCAACAAGGACTTAACAAGTCTTTGAACTTTCTCACCCATTATCAAGACAGTTTCCCCAATTATCACCTGTAATACCATTAACTCACAAACATCCCACTCTCCCTACCTTTAATATCAGCAATTCACAGACACTTACCTTCCTTCCTCCCCCTTCCCACCCCCCCGCATCCCCCTTCTGTTCTGCAATGTGATTTGTCCTTTTCATATTTGTTCATTTTTTTAAATTCTATCCTTTGGTATATATGGTTGTGACTACTTTCTTCCACTATTTGATCTGAGGAAGTGGGTCTGGCCCACGAAAGCTCATCATCTAATAAACCATCTTGTTAGTCTTTAAAGTGCTACATTGTCCTGCATTTTGCTTCAAAAAGGAGATGGACGGTCAAACCACATTAACGTAAAGTTTTGTGCTTGTGCTATCTAAAAGGCATACTACAAGGAACACACAACAAAATGTTTATTTCTTAAAATTCCATGGAAAATCTTAGAAGGTCTTTGGGGCCTGTCTTTGTTTTTATATAATGCCTAGTATGTTGTATATACTACTGAAAGCATAATAAAAGTAAGTACAATATTATTTTATATATATTTTATGATGGGTTGGATGTTTATATTTTACCATATTTATTTTTGGAGTATTGGTTGCACTGAACTGCCAACTTCAGGCTTTACAATGTATGCAAATGTACAGGTAAATGTGATTTGTTTTCATCAGTAGGAAGCTAATCTTACCCATAAAACCATTCCTCTTGACCTGAATCCAGCAAAACACTTAAGCATGTGCTTAACTTTCAGCAAGTGAGTAATCAGTTGAGCCCTTTTCCTAGATGAAGATAAAAGCAGCTAGAGCATAGTATACTAATATATTTGGAATTTACATTTGTATAGGATATGTGGGCAAAGAATTTAATTGCAGCTGTGATAGTGTTTGATGTGTTTGTTTGATAACGTACACAAAATGCATAGCCTAAAGTCTGAGACTCTGTGTACTAGATGTACACGTTGCAAAGGCTGAAGAATAGTAGCACTTTAACAGAATATAACACTATGAATGTTGGACAGGTAACTCATAAAGGAAAACTGAGAGTGAATTTGCTTTGAAGATGCAGGGCTACATTGAGAGTTTGCCCTTAATCAAAATATTGATTGTTTTGAGCTGGTTGATAAAGTAGGTGAGACATTCATTTAGATCAGTTCTTCATTAGTCATAAGAGAAGCCCAGTAGGTTAATTTGTATTAAGACTGCTAGAAAGATTTCTCAGGATGATCAATGCTTTGAATGTTTTTAAATGCTTTTGCAACAAAACTATTTAAGTTTGAATACTTGGATTGCAATATTCTGTCATATCTAAGTTATCTGAATACATGTACAAACTCGATTTATATTGGATTTGATAAACTTCTGATTTCTGAGTTATTGGTACATACAAGCTATAAAATTGCATCAAAAATAAATAAGTATATAAAAACTGAGGATTAAGCTCAAATTAATCATTTGTAGCTTTGGTATATTTATATAAACATTATTTTTCCTCTCCAGTAAACCTGTAGGCATCATATAATTTTTTTCAAAATATAGGAGATGTATATTATTTCTGTCAGTATTTATATGACTAGATTAGGGATGTTAATTACTATGTATTTTTGTAGAGGTGTAACTGCTGGTGGTGTGTTTTTTCTATTCTAGATGCTGGGTTAATCTGTTCTCATTGTGTCTACATGCCATTGCTGCTGTTCACCAGGTTCTTTTCGCAGCATAAATAGGCAGATATCATAATCCTTATTATACTAAAGAGGGACACTCCTATAGAAAATGAACAAAAGATCTGGTAGTTCCATTAACTCAGGGCGAGGTTAGAAATGAGTTTGCATTTCTTATGATACTAGCCTGTTTTCTCACTTACAGGAGTTGTGGCTCTTTGCTGAACTCAAGACTGGAGTCCAGTAGCCTCCTACACAGTGCAGTAAACAACTCCCTTCCTTTTGCTGCCTAGCATGGATACTTGGCGGAGAGGATCCATCAAATCCACAACGTTCTTCAAGCGTCTTTCGTTCAGGAGGCATAAAAAGCTGGGTAATCAAGTCATCATCTTGAATCAGAACAGCCAGACACTTGAGAACAGTGGACAGTACAAGAGGGAACCACTAAGAGACCTGAAGGATAAATCAGAGTACCTGTTATGTAAAAGTGAGCAAAACCTAGCCCAAGCTCAGGCACCTCCAAAGCCACCCCGACTGTATCTAGACAGTTCCAGCTGCCCCAACATAATTGACCACACGGAGTCTCACTCTACAGCCATTTCCTTTTCCAGTGCTACTCCTCAGTACCATAAAGCCACGCAAACACACGTGACTAACTCCCACACAGACCAGGCTACGGACTGGGGGACCTCTGAAACTGGCTCTGACCTCTTTCTTTCCTTCAAAGTGGACTTGGGGCTATCACTCCTGGAAGATGTTCTGCAGACTCTCAGGAAACAGAATCCAAGAGATTATGCAGCTTGAAAGGGTTTACCAATTAATTTATTAAGTTAATTATCAGCATTTGGTAGTTTCCTTACCCCTCACAAGAGAAGAGGAGATACTGGCGTATCCCTACCCTGGAGTGCCTGTCTTATTGTCCTGTCTTACCCACCGTAAGCCATTTGTGTCTATTCTCAGAGCACCCTTCCCACTGAGCTGTCAGTGCACCAATATGAGAGAGCCACACACTGGACTCCAGTCTAATGCACTTCCATTTTCTACAATGGACAGGGAAATTCC